GAGGGAAGGCACTAGCAATGGAGGGAGAGGGGGCATCAGAGAAGCAGAAGGTGGAATTGTAGTGCCCTGCCTCTCATCCTTACGGACTCAGCAATCACAGTGGGCTCAAACCTCATCAGGTCAGGAGGAATCTAATTCTACTTCACAGCTTTTCCAAGAGTTTCTACTTTAAGCATGATAATAAAAATTTCTCAGCATATGCTGATGGATCCACAGCTATACATTGACGTGGCTAGGCTGGATAATCTACAGGGCACCATTTATTTCTAGAGGAGTGTTGGTTTCAAAACTTACCCTGGGGTTCTACTCTAATTTATGGACTTATGGGGCAATCCAGACTGAATTCTTGTCCTTATTCTTATCAAAAATAGGATGGAAATCCCAAGGACACTCAGTGTATTTATGAATTTCTCAGAATATAAATCAGCAGTGGAAAAAAAATCCCCAGTGTGATTGTAGGTCTACTTATGTTCCACTCATGTAATCTTTACCCAATGACCAAAAAATGGTGCGTAGAGGTTCTGGGACTCTGAAGTCACACTACAGTTCTAGTTACATGAACTTAGACCTTCTGACCTCTGAAACCTTCCAGTCTAGTGATGGGATATGAGGTTTCTTGTGACCTGGCATCTTTGTATTATGGTCTGTAATAGGGGTGGGGAACCTGTGGCCTCAAGGCCACATATGGCTTTTAGGTTCTTGGGCTGAGTACAAGTTTTACAAAACAAATCCTTTTATTAAGGGGATTTGTCCTGCAAAGTTTGGATTCAGTCAAAGGGCTGCACTTGAGGACCTAGAGGGCCACATGTGGCCTTAAGTCTGCAGGCTCCCTACTCCTGGTCTGTAATATTGGATGAAAGTAGAAGTTTGAGTACCCCACTGGAAACACACACACACACACACACACACACACACACACACACACACACACACACACATTTTGATTATCTATTTTTCTACAGCCCATACAAGTAAAACCTTTAATTTTTACCATGAAAAAAATTTAAGACAGCAAATCTTCCTTCATTTTAGTCAAAAGGGAAGCCAGTGACCATGTTCTTCCATGGATATGATATATCTGTATGGCTAAGATTTAGTATGTGATGGCCCCCATTCAAAGGCAATACTAATATTTAAGTGAAACGAGATAGTCTCTCTAACTGGGTCACCAACAATACATATTCCCAAAACATAATACAATTATCCTTAAAAATATATATATATATACTAACACCAATCTGAGGCAACAAAGCAGATGCTTTCCAACTGGTAGACAACTCCAGCTCAATCTTTAATTTAAAAAAAAATTCTTTAAAAGAAAACATTCCACGTTGCCTAACCAACAGGAAAAGATAAAGATTTTTAATAAGTACCTAAGAAACGATAATGTCTATCTGTAGAATTATAGACTACTAGTAAAGAAGATGGAATAATAGGAAAAAAAATGGTAAGCCACTACATATGTGGCACAGAATGAAAATTCAAGGCAAATGACTCTGGGCAAATAACCTCCTGACGCTTCAGTCTCCACTTCAGTAAAAGGAGGATATCTGTAGCAATAGATATACAAATTAATATTAAACTTAAGTACATATATGCGTGGAGTCATCATGGCAGAGTGGAGAGTGTTAGGCTTAGAGGAAGGAAAATTTGGGCTCTGATCCTACTTCTAGCTATGTGACTATGACTTCTATGGGACTCGGGCAACTTCCTAGGATTTAGTGGGTAAGTCATGGATAGTTGCTTGATGTTGGTGGAAGAAGTTCCCACCGTGGAATTTCCCTGCACTGATGTAAATACAGATACTTTCTGAATCTTAGAGTATGCATGGATAAGAATGTGGCAGGCCTCAGACAGAAAAACTATTTCAGAAAACTCTTAAGAAATAATCCAGTGCCTATTTTATAAATAAGGAAAGTGAAGCACAAATGGGTGAAATGACTTGTCCATACTCCAGTGGCAGTACAGGCACTAGGATCCGGATCTCCTACCTCCGAGTCCAGGGAATTTTTTCCAGGATGTAATCCAGATCAGGATAATTAGCTTCTATGTCAAGACAAGCCAGGAACACTGGTTTGGAGAAAGAGTAGGGGGAGAAAAAGGCTCATATAATCTGACAACATTTTGGGACTAAAGAGGGTGTATCAAGAAGTCTAATGTCAGTATGATTTAAAGGAGTAGAGGGGTGGGCAAGAGAGAGTCTATTAAATTCAAAATCAACACACAACAGCCACACACAACAGGTGGCCAGCTAAGTGGACATATCAGAAAGTTCAAGGTGAAAACGAATGATTATAACAGTCTGGGCAAGAGGCAAGGTCAGGCAGACCAGGGTTAACTACAATTAGAGCAACAGGGCAAACTCAGCCTGGAGGAAAACCCTAAGCAAGATAATAATAACAACAACAGCAACAACAACAACGATAATAACAATTTGTTGTTCAGTCATGTCTGACTCTCTGTGACCCTATTTTGGGTTTTCTTGGCAGAGATAATAGAGTGGTTTGACATTTCCTCCTCCAGCTCATTTTACAGATGAAGAAACTGAAGCAAACAGGGTGAAGTGTCTTGCCCAGGGTCACACAGTTAGCAAGTGTATGAGGTCTGATTTGAAATAATAACAATAACATTTATATAGCACATTAAGATTTGAAAAGCACTTTATTCATATTATCTCACTTGATCCTTACAACTACCTTATGAGGTAGGTGCTATTATTACTCCCATTTTATATATGAGGGAACTGAGGACCAAAGAAGTTAAGTGACTTGCCCAGGGTCACAGAGCTAGTAAGTATCTAGTCAAGTACCTGAGCCTGACTCCAGGCTTAGCACTCTATCCACTGCACCACAGAGATGTCTAGCCTTCCAAGTTCTAAATCCTCAGGCATGCAGATGCTCTAAAAGCCAGAACCTTCAGGGCTCTAAAGGGGCCTCAGCCCATTAAGAGATGCTCTGACCTCTCTGAGGCAAAGATCCACCTTCATCTGATCAAAAGCCTCCCATTTTGAAGTCAAGGTTCCAGGATCCTACCAGACTGGGGGCTCCACTTGAGTGTCTGTATACTTCAGAGGAAGGGAATTCTTCTACTCTAGATGCTGGAAGAAGCAGTTCAAGTCCTCCATTTGAGGCCCTGACCTCATCATTAGAGGTCTATTCTAAGGAGAGTTGAGGCAAAAGAACCAATCCAGTCCCTTGGATGAGGAGGAGACAGTGTCAGAAAGGGTAAAGGGAAAATTTACTGGGATTATACTACACCTTGCTACCTTTTCTTAGAGAATGACATTTCTTTTTAATGTATGAGATTTTCCAGGAAATCTCAATCTGTCATCCAAGAGCTTCCCAACATAAAGAAGCAAAGTAAATTAAATAAGACCAAAAAGCTGCCTTAAAAGAAAAAAAAAAAAAACCCTACCTTGTCAATCGTTCACAAAATGTACAGGAAGACAGTGAGGAAAATGAAAAGGAGAAGCCATAAATTACACATATTCATAAACAAATACAAATATATTTTTTAGATATTTAAAAATCAAAATGCTAAAGGATGGAGACTCATAGTTAGAACAATACTGTAAACTGTCTAAAAATAACTTACAGATGAGCCCTGGAAAATGCCATAATCCTTGATCCACAGAAGATATTAGAAACAGCAATTTGGCTTTATCAAGTTAGACAACAAGTTTTGCTATGACTAACACATGCTGTATTTCCTTGACTACATATGTGCATATGTACAGGAAATAAAGAATGCACAGAAAAGAGGGCAGATATTTGAAAATAAGTAAGGGCTAAGACGAATTTTACTAAATTATTATCTCTATCACTTTACAAGGAAGCTGAACATTCAGACAGAGAAAAAAAACCAACACCGTCCCCATTGATACAGATGAGAAATCTCATAGATATTCTGCATGGATGCCTGACAAAGGTCTGAAAAATAATGAGGAATGAGATGCAGAATAAAACATAAGCTGAGATAATATTCCAAATGTTGCATTAAAATAAAGTCAAACAACCTAATACATGCTGAGATTCTTTTTATGAAAATAACTTTTTTTCAGAAGATATTAAAAATGTTTTTCAGAGATTCACCTGATTTCACAGCAGTCCTGCCGAATCATTTATATTTGATCTCTTTAATTTGATAATGAAGAAACCGAGACACTGAGGAGTTAAGTCACTTTGTAGAGATTACACAGTAAATCAATAGCCAAACCTGGATAACCACCTCTGAAACTACTCAATAAAATCCATTTTGAATTGCTTTCAGGCCCTAACACTCTGATCAGCAGGGGGATTAGAACCGAAGAAAAATAAAACAGAATTAAAACAACATAAAACCCTTTGCTTTGATTAGTAGCTTATCATCTACCTTATAGAAAAGTGATTTTGACAAACTACCTACTGGTCCTGCTCAATTTTTGCCTTTACTGTACAAGGACATACAAACTCCTACCAAGGGCATAGAATCAGTTGTGATAAGAGAAAACTTAAATAGCGTACACATTTGTCAAATGTTTATTTTCATAGTTAGCACATTGACTTTTCACTCACTTTTGTGAAATAAATGTTAAGTAAGCACTCTTGCAATGGAATTATTAAAGGCTACTCACCCGTATCCCACCTGATAAGCTGAAAAGCCCAGCCATTCCAGACATCCTAAAAATTAAAATTAAAGGAGAGAAATTAGTAGCTACATGAAATATGATAAAAAAACACAAAAATTGATGAATGCTACAGAGTCAGCTAAAAAATGATTCTAATATCCTTTTTCCTCTGGCTATCCTCTAAACAAAGTGTCAGGGTCCAAACAAACATTGCTGGCTGGGTCCTAATACATAGCTATCTCCTACTCACACAGTGAAAGCATCTCATGATATTGTATACAACATGTGAAAAACTACCTTCCTACCATCTCACCTCTTATCTTTCTTCTCATTAGAAAGGATTAGAAAGGAGATAGCTTCAGTGAAAGCTGTAATAATAATAACTAACATTTTCAAATATATTGTCTCATTTGGGACTTACAACTTTGTGAGGTAGATGCTATTATTATTCCCATTTTACAGAAGAAATTGAGGCTAAGAGAGATGAATTGACTTGCCCCAAGTCACTTGGCTAGTAAGCATCCAAGGCAGGACTTGAATTCAAGCCTTCCCAACCCACAGTCTGGAGCCCTATCCACTATGCAACCTCACTGCCAACTTTATAATGGTAATGCCAACTTGAGAAGGTATCTCCCAATGTTGTCTTGGATATGTAAACCCATCTCAATTTTCAAACCTAAGCCAATTTCCAATTTAAATTGTTATTTATACTTTTTTCTGCAAAAATATTATAACTTAGCAGGGAGCTGGGGTGGAATAAGCATTTATATGGCACCTATGTGCTGGACAAGGATTCTTCTTTTATTAATTTATTTTGATTTATCAACAATTACTTCCATAAGCTTTTGAGTTTTAAATTTTTCTCCCCCTTTCCTCCCTACTTCTCTCCCCAAGACAGTGTACAATCTGATACAGGCTATACATACACATTCCTATTAAACATATTTTCACATTAATGATGTTATAAGGAAGAATTAGAACCAATAGCAGGAACCACAAGAAACAGAAAACAAAACAAAACAGAAGAAGAAAAAAATCAAACAGTATGCTTTGATCTGCATTCAGACTCCATAGTTCTTTCTTTGGATGTGGATAGCATTTTCCACCATGAGACCTTTGGCGATGTCTTAGATCCTTGAGCAAGGATTCTTTGAGCAAGAATATACTATAAAGTTGAAAAATAAAACCTTAGTTCAAACATCAAAGACCCATTATAAAGTACTTCCCATATTTAATGAATTTAATTAGCCCATGAGTCAAAGTATGTCACATGTTTGTAACTCTTACCATAAAATAAAGTCTATAAAATAAGTACCAGCAAAGATGCTTTAAATAGACAAAAAGCTATCCTGGGAAGCAGGAAGGTTTGGATTCAAGTCAATGACCCATTCTAGTTTAACTATTGTAGTTAAATGACCAGGAGAAAGTCATTTAACTTCTGAACTCCCTAGTTAACTCTCTAAGTCTTTCAAACATTATAGATGAGTTGCCAACCTGTATCAGGCGAGAGAGTTTCAAACCAATGAGGTCACAGGTCAGGACAAAAAACATAAAACACATGAGTGAGTTTCATTTTTGAAATGGGTTTTTGCTTTCTCCTCCCTTGGCGCCACAAAACTAGGTATAGTCTAATTATGTGATATTGGTCTAGCCACTTCTGTTGTCTGAGCCTTACTGTCCCCATGTGTAAATTGGGGTTAACACTACCGGTTCTAATGTTAGGCAGACTGCTTAGCAGATATACTCAAGAATTAATAAGACATCTGATGACAAATATTTTGCAAATAAAACTTGCTAAATGTATAAAATGACACTACTTATATTGTATACCATTAGTGAAGTGAGTTACAAAACTCTTTATGAAATTTTTCTCTAGGCACAAAGAAGAAAGTTTACAGTATACTAAAGAAAAATATAAATCTGGGTATTTCCTACACTATGATTAACATGTTATTCAGTCATGTCCCACTCTTCATGACCTCAATGATTATTATATATTAGCTCTATTCAAAGAAATTAAAATGTATCATGCACACAAAATATCAAAAGCTGTCTACTGGATAATTTATTTAGGATTTATTTCAATTTTATTAAGGACATATTCAACACTGGTATAACCTGTCACAGAAAAAATTGATTCCTTATACTTGAATACTCTATATGGTTTGAATACTCCTTCCCCCAAACAGTGTGGTCAAAGACTTAGAGTCAACAAATCTGAATCTGAACTCCAAATGTTCCATTTCCTTCCCTTGTAATGCTAGCCAAGTAACTTGACTTCTCTGGGCCTCAATTACTTCAAATGCAAAATGCATGACATAAACTAGATACTTTTCAGATCCTTTCCAGCACTAAATCCATGAATTATGAACTTAATAGGTACAGTTGCTATGATTGAACACTTTATCACCCTGTGGTCAACTTGGTGATGAGGCTTTTAAGACTCAGGCTGATCCACATACAACAGACAGAATGGGGCCATTTTTGAAGATGTTTTAGTTCTCTAAGGACCTGTCAAAGTTTATGCTCCATTACAAAGTCCTTGAAAAGGCAGGGTCGCCTCTATATGGTGGCAAGGGATCAGAGGATTTTAGCAGAATAATTTTGCTGTAGATAGCTAAAATTAACTACAACACTCTTTTCTAACTCTTAGACCGGGAATACCAACCTCACTGATTGCTACGTGGCTTTGGTTGAGGCATGAAGCTATTGACAATCACTGCTTGAACCTCTGGCAGCCCTAAAAGATGCTACTAATTTTATTTTTTCCCCTTGTGCCTTGATATCAGTAGTAATAGTAGTAGTAGTAGTAGTAGTAGTAGTAGTAGTAGTAGTAGTAGTA